TGCTGCTGCTGCGGCTGCGGCTGCTGCGGCTGCGGCTGCGGCTGCTGCTGCTGCTGCTGCTGCTCCTGCTGCTGCTGCTGCTGCTGCTCTTGCTGCTGCTCTTGCTGCTGCTCTTGCTGCTGCTCTTGCTGCTGCTCTTGCTGCTGCTCTTGCTGCTGCTCTTGCTGCTGCTCTTGCTGCTGCTCTTGCTGCTGCTCTTGCTGCTGCTCTTGCTGCTGCTCTTGCTGCTCCTCTTGCTGCTGCTCTTGCTGCTGCTCTTGCTGCTCTTGCTGCTGCTCTTGCTGCTCCTCTTGCTGCTCCTCTTGCTGCTCCTCTTGCTGCTCCTCTTGCTGCTCCTCTTGCTGCTCTTGCTGCTCTTGCTGCTCCTCTTGCTGCTCTTGCTGCTCTTCTTGCTGCTCTTCTTGCTGCTCTTGCTGCTCTTCCTGCTCTTGTTGCTGCTCTTGCTGCTCTTGCTGCTCTTGCTGCTCTTGCTGCTCTTGCTGCTCTTGCTGCTCTTGCTGCTCTTGCTGCTCTTGCTGCTCTTGCTGCTGCTCCTGCCGTGCCATCAACCAGCCTCCAAGGCGAGAAACCAACAGCCAGACATCTTTTTCGAAACTCACTCGAAACAGCAAAACACCACCTAATTTCGTGCCAAAAATGGCGCAAAATCGCAGCAAAAAAGTGCCTAACGTGTCTTCTGAAATCTTAGAGAATCCTAGAGAATCCTAGACTATACATCCTAGAAAATCTTAGGCTATATATAGTACTGTATAGTACTGGCTGCCTGCTGGCTGCTGCAAAAACGTGGGTCCCGGACAGGGAAACACCATAGCAGTGAAGGACGGAGGCAGCTGCAGCTGCAGCTGCCGCTGCTGGTGCTGTCGTCCGCTGATGCTGCTGCTGCTGCTGCTGCTCTTGCTGTTCCTGCGCTGCTGCTGCTCCTGCCGTGCCATCAACCAGCCTCCAAGGCGAGAAACCAACAGCCAGACATCTTTTTCGAAACTCACTCGAAACAGCAAAACACCACCTAATTTCGTGCCAAAATGGCGCAAAATCGCAGCAAAAAAGTGCCTAACGTGTCTTCTGAAATCCTAGAGAATCCTAGAGAATCCTAGAGAATCCTAGACTATACATCCTAGAAAATCTTAGACTATATATAGTACTGTATAGTACTGGCTGCCTGCTGGCTGCTGCAAAAACGTGGGTCCCGGACAGGGAAACACCATAGCAGTGAAGGACGAAAACAGCTGCAGCTGCAGCTGCACGCTGCTGGTGCTGTCTTCCGCTGCTGCTGCTGCTGCTGCTCTTGCTGTTCTTCCGCTGCTGCTGCTCCTGCCGTGCCATCAACCAGCCTCCAAGGCGAGAAACCAACAGCCAGACAGCTTTTTCGAAACTCGTCGTCGTAGTAGTAGTAGTAGTAGTGTTGTAGTAGTAGTAGTAGGAGGAGGAGGAGTAGTAGTAGTAGTAGTAGTGGTAGTAGTGGTAGTAGTGGTAGTAGTGGTAGTAGTGGCAGTAGTGGTGGTAGTAGTAGTAGTAGTAGTAGCAGTAGCAGTAGCAGTAGCAGTAGCAGTAGCAGTAGCAGTAGTAGTAGCAGTAGTAGTAGTAGTAGTCCGACAAGAGTCAAATGTCTTATTCCCTGGCGCGCTCCCCCTTGCGTCTGCCGGGGTCGGCGGATATGATAAGAATGCTTTGTAAAAATAATGTATGCGCCACATACATTAATAAGACTGATCATCATCATCAGCAGCAGCAGCATCATCATTTCTTGCAACGGATGCTGGTATGAATATCTATGATTCTATAGATATCCATATTGGAGATCAAGGCCTGTCGAAACAAAGGCAGCCGGCACTTAGGGACCGTCCGGGTTTTCAGGTTGGAGTTGGTCTTGATTTCCAGCATGCTGTGACGACTCATGTGAGCAAAGCCCAACATTGATAGTTGTATTGTGAAGTATAAACTGGTTTAATATGGTTTAATGGAGGGTTATTGGATGCTATTGGAATCAACAATGTCAGCCGTGTCAACCACAAGCTTGGGGGATGATAGCTTGGCCCCCTTGGCTGTTTCCTGGGCACTGCTACAGGCTTTTTTGCAATTGCTCCTGGAGAATGCTAGCAACAAACTGCAGGCCTTCGGACAGCGCCTATCTAGGGCGATTGGATGCTGTAAGGATATTGATGTTGGATGATGTTGGCAAATAAGGGAGAATATGGCTGTTGTATGCTGTTGTATAATTTTGCTCTAAATCACCAGCCTTTAGAGTCAGTCCCCTGGTCAGGAGCTTGAGAAGAGATGTGTTGCTTTCTCGTGCGTTTCCCAGAAGATTCCTGACCTCTGCCCTGATCGGATAGCTTGCAGTCGACGGATAGCTTGTGCCGACCTAACTTCGAAGAATGAGGAATGCTAGTGGCTGTGGGACAGGGATCAACTGTGGGCCGAGGTATTTGGCTTCATTCTTAGGCAGGGCCAAATTCCTGAACGTGAAGTATTCAGTGAGGAGCTGTGAGTGTGGCCCCTGGCAGCACTTTGAGTTTGCTTCCAGAGAGGCACCTGCAAGTTTTGTGATTTGCGAGATGTTCCGAGGCACTTAGCTTTGTTTGGCAACACCTGGCTTCAGGCAGGTGTTAAAAATTCTGCGCTCCTCTCGCAATATGTCAGCATCCCTTGGTGACTCCATCGCCAGGAGCTGGAGGTTGGCCACGGGATTCGGGAACAGATCGGAGTATCTACCAGAGAAGACGTGCCAGGAAGCCAAGATAGCTGGCCTGTATCTGTGCCAAACAGACTCCTCCAATAAAAATACATTTTTTTTTGCAATTTCCTCAGCCAATTGGGCTGTTTTGTTTTACCTGCTGGAAAGTTACGAGCTCCACAGGAACTATCCAATGCGGATTATCATCATCCATTGCAAAAGTCCCAATTAAGATCAATCAAGCAACCAGGATAATCCATTGTACACCAACCAATACTGGTCATTTATGCTTATTTACTGCTGATGACCCGCCCAGGCTGAAGTTGATGGCTTCTTTGGTTCAGGCTGCCGTCGAAGCCACACCCGCCGACATTCTCAAGGATCATCCCAAGCCTGGCATGTTGCGCAAATCTATGCTTATTTGATATCCGAAGTATCACACAGATATCATAATATATATATATGTTATATTATATTATATATTATATTATATTATATTATATTATATTATATATCAAACTATCCCAACATATCTCATCCACTTCTTTGGTCATCGCCCCAAAGCATCATTCATTGTGGAGGCTTTTTGCTATATCATCGTTTGGCATGTAGAGGTGCCCGGCACACTGGGAGGAATCGCCCGGAAAAGATTCAAATCTTACGATTAAACTTAAACATGATTAAACGAGTGGTAGATTACTGCACATTTAATGGGTATATATATATGTGTATTTGAGGTTACTAATGGTTACTATAAACATCTATAATCTATCCGTTTTTCGTGGTACTAAAACCAACTTTTGACCTTTTTGTTTGAATCGCCTCTGCCCTCATTGGTTTGTGTCAGCAGCTGGTGTCAGCCATGACAGGGTTTTAGGGAAGAGACAGATGAGTCGGGTTCTCAGTCGAGACAGGACTCTGAAAGACGGTTCGGAGTGCCTGTTGGTTTCAAGACTTTCTCTGTGGCCATGAACGTAGTAACTGAGAATTGCATTTGCTGCATTTGCTGCACTGCATTTGCTTCAAGCTGCTCTTGTTGAATCGCATGCGCGGGTTTTGGGGAAATGTCAAGGTCTGGACATAAGTGATGGACGTGATTGTTTGAACCTGGTTTCAACATGTCGTCAACTAGATTCTGTGAGAACAGGAGTGTGCATCCAATCAAACAAGATCATCTCCTGCCAAAAAACACGATGCGAGTGCGACTGCTTGAGTCCTAAGGAACGGCGTGAATGGTTTGGACAAAGTATTGCCAGACCTAGGACCCAGAGCTGGTAGATATATGAATGACATTTAGCAGTAGAGCCAGGTTCCCCGAAGAATCCGGTAGATTCATGTATGGATTCTAATACCTATATAATTTTAATTAATTAGATATCATTTGCAAATATGTAGAAATCCCTCAAACCGCGTCGTTGAACCTCAACGGGGAACGGGTTATAACGGGTTCTACCTCCATAGTTCTGCTGATCGCTCCCTGGTCCCTGCTGTGCTGCTTGCGAGCAGGACAGCCCATGGACAAAACAGCTATGACACAAGTGCTCACCAGCCGTTACATGTGAAGATCTCAAGCTGGGAAGCTGGTGATGAATTCAAGACGGGGATAATCCCTGAAGCTAGTGAACAGACTAGATCAGTAAATAGATTCGTAACATAAGTTGTGATCCCAACAGCATCAACAACCATCATGATCACGAGATATCACAAGTTGTATGAGTTGGTAGTGATCCACTGCTCATTTACCAAAAAAAACAGTGATCATCCCACTGCGCTGATCCCGTCATTTGAGGCCCTTTTCTCTCATGCGACGCCCTGTCGCGAAGGAGTTCTGTCGGGCAATCAGGCCGGATGTCGGCTGTTTGAAACACAAAAGATCCAGGTCAGGTAAAGAACTTGAATTTCAGCTGGCAGCTTCAACTTTCTGATTAAAACATATCTAAACATATCTAAACCCCATCTCAACAAGTGTTCCCCATTGCTGGTTTGCTGACCAGTACAGCCTAGGCAGACCAGACCAAAGCTAGCGGAGGTCCTGCAGCAGCAACTGTACAACGTGGGAGATGCCAAGATGGGATGACTGCCAGGGTGTTACTGCCAGGTGTTACTGCCAGACGTTACCGTACTAGGCTGTTGCAATCTTGAACCATCTTGAACCTGTAGCCAGGTAGCCAGAGTGGTAATCAAAGCTGGCAGTTGGAGATCCTCCACATTTATCATGACCTTCACATTTACCAATTTTGCAGAAGTACAGGTCTAGTATAGGTAGTCAGTCAGGACTTTTATCGCGTCCAATGGTCCAAGTGCATAGGAATCTGATGGGTTTGTGCTATGGCGAGACTGAAGGAGAGGCACTACTTTGTTGATGTTTCCTTAAGTATTTGCATATTGACCACATATTTTCATGTCTCGATTCAGACATGAAATGCCCCAAGTTGTAAAGCACGGCTGATGGTGCCCAACCCACTGGTGGTTCACACGGCCAACAGTCAAGGTGATCCCCCAAAAGTGACGTGACGAATAGTGTTCAATGCTAAATATGGACAACATACAACAACATGATGCACAAGTATATATCCAACATGATTTTTCCGGCCCTAAGAAGCCTTAAAGTTTGAAGCACATGTGGAATCATTGATGACAATACCAGGAATTTCATCTCCAAAGTTCCAACGGTTGTTTTGGAGTGAGGTACCGCCCGTTGCAGAGGAAGATGAGTTGGTGCCCTAGGAGATGATTCCATCGATGTCCATAATTCCATCACTCCGATTCCGATTTCCATAGGACCATGAAGTTGTCAGATGTTTTTCAGGCGTTAGCGAGGGAGAATGAAACATGAAACATGCACATTTTCTCCGTTTTCATACCCGAAGCCATCAGCAACTCGTGGAAACTAAGGATGCTGTTGAAAGGAACTGGATATTTTCCATTTGATCCGTTCCTGCTGGCTCATTCCAATATCTTTCTGTACAGGTCTCAGAACTGGGATAACGGGGCAGAGTCAATCTGATCACCTGTGATGACTTCTGAATGAATATTTCGCAGGACTTGGGATATGTTGTGATGCAAGACATGCAGCGCGAAGATGGATTTGTCTCAAAAAAAAGATAATACCCCCAAATCCAGTGGTTGATCAGCGGTTCTCTATTCAGATGGCTATGGCTATAACTTATACTATTTGGAGATACAATATATATATATATATTATAGATATACATATATATATATATATTTGTATACCGCATTTCACATATCATGACAGAGCTAGATGTTTGAAGTCCACTGGTGCAGCTGAGGATGGGCATCTACCAGAGCTGGCAACGCGGCGATGATGGCTTTGATGAGGACCGGTCACTTGGGGATGTCGAAAGCGAAACAATTAAGCCTGGTGAGGCATTTAAGAACGTTTAAGAACCATGCTAGAAATAGTATGAACTGATTTTAATCACCATTATAACAGTAAGCATCCCAATCATGGTCCCAATCATGGTGTAGCTAGCCTAACAGGTTGCTGGCACTAGCTCGGATCATCCAGGAGTCAGACAGGGAGGCTGAAAACTACCTGAAGGCAGGTCTGGGCATTATAGTCACATATAGTCATTGGCAACAAACATGACGACTATATCAGATATCAGATATCATATAGTCACATATCTGAGATTATTTCAGATATCTCATGTCCCCAAAGTCATGGCGACCGAGTGACCCCAAAGTCGTAACTGACGACTTCAACAGGCTCGCAACAGGGCAGAATCTTCAAGACCTTCAGACAGTGTGGCTTGGACACGATGAAGTCTGAAGGTTGTTACTGGTGGTCGGCGTCAAGTCAGCAAATACTGCAAGATGTAAAACATGGTGATCCAAAAGAAGGTTCAGAACAGTGACATCTTTCCACTATGACACAGTCACTGACCGGGCGATAGGATAGACATGTCCGATAGGTAGTTTCAAAGAAATATCTGCTGTTTGGATCTGCTTGGATCTGTTTGGTAGTTTCAATGGGTGGTCCAAAATGTGTCGCCCATTGTCGCCACACTGAGCCACCATCACACCATCCCATTCGGTGCGCACCTATGCCTGGGAGATTGAATTCGCCTCCAACTGAGGTTTCAACTCATTTGGCCATATGGATGTATAACCTTGTATGGCTGAAACTATGCCACATTTTGGCTTGATTTTTGGTAAAGATGATAAAGTTTCTTTCTTATGAAAGTTTATGAAACGTAGCATTGAATTAGAGACCTCGGGGCATTGGGGACTTGTGGGTGTATACTGTGTGATTGGTGGCTTGGTGGTTGGGAGTGTTAGTGCAACCGGAATTAGCACAACCACTTCGTTAGGAACTCTGGTCATTTTGAGCCGGTAAGGAGTTTTGGCGCTAATTACAGTCAAGATCAGTCAAGAGTGGCATTACAAACGCTCGGTTGAGCATGCGGGGTCTCAATGTCAACAGTTTGCTACATTTTGCTACTGGGCCGTCCTAGCAAGGCAGCAATTCAGCATCATCGCAGCTCAACACCCTGATCAACCAGTGATTTTCCAGTGTTTTTCCAGCTTTTTCCCAGAGGACGCACCATTTTTTTTCGGGAAAAATCACTGGAAAATCACCAGGCGAGTTCCATCTCCTCTGAGGCGTCGGACATGGAGGATGACCAGGATGATTTCACTGATGAAGCGGACGTGGCGAGTCGAGGCTTCACTCCCCAGGTGCGAAAATTCGGGAGGAACTGGGTGCCCTATAGAAATGATAACTGGAATGATATATTCCTAGTGATTCTATATAATTCCTATTATAAGTTATATGATGTTAGAATCATTATAACTTATATTATAACTGGTTCAGTAGGAACTGGAAATAACTGGATTGGGAATACTTGTTGGGCTAGGAGTAATTACTGGAATATGTACTACAATTAATGACCAATAATTATGAAAACATAATATAAGCCATATTACGGGATTTAGTGGTTACTAGCTGACATACCGGGAATGATTCTATCTCACAATGGGAATTTTTACTGACCAGTATCATGGGATAGGGATATGTTCAACGGCTCAACGTCCAAGTAACTTAAGTAGATATGGAAAACCCTCAAGATCATCTCGCAGGGAAACACATCTCCATAGGTAAAAACTGCCGGGCAGGGGAGATTATGATGGAAGCAAGATGGGATACATGGTGTCAATATCATGCGATTATGGGATTTGCAATGAAAAGATAGGAACAACGAGAATCTCATGGAGATGTGATGGTATAGCTAGGATAGCCAACAACTTCCAAGATGGATCGTTTTTTTTTGCTACCCAAAAAGGATCTGTTTTGGTTCCACCCAGATCCATCCCCATCGCCACAGGTGGGACCATCTCCGGCATTTCGACCTGATGCTGATATGGTGCCTCGGAGAAGCACGGATTTTTTCATTGACTGGTTATTCTCAGTACATCATTCCAGTTTCTCTATGAGATTTTTTGATGAAAAAAATGGGGTGCCAGCTGTTCTGGCTGTTCTGTTTAATCAATTCACCTATGATCACTTAGGTAAGAATACGTAAGAATAGCTAGTTTGCGCTAATGTTTGCGCTACCCAACCTCGACCCGGCAGCGCAATGTAAAGTTGTGGTTTGGAGATCCAGAAAGATGACCCAGAGCGGTAAACCGAGTAAGCTCTCTGACTTGGCAGGCTTGAAGTACAGCGGAAGCATGTGAAATCTTGGCTCAAGGCTTGACTTCAATCAAGATGGTTATCAATTGGTTGAGGCATGTAGAAAAGAAAAGCACTTTTTGGAAGTCACCTTGACCATTTTTTGCACATTTTGTCGATGTCTACTTGGGCAAGTGAGACATAAGGGCCTCAAAATGCGTTTGCCAATCTCACCATTTTAGTCTGACTCCTTGCGAAACCACTCCCCAGACCAATTGTTTTGTGATCCAACAGAAGTGGCTTTGCTAGAATTGCAGACATCATGGTGTGAACATTGCACTCGGCAATTTTCCCCAAATCTGGAAGCCACATACTCATCTCTACCCCAAGAAAAACATGAGATACCAAAGTTAGTAGCTCTCATGACACCAGCCGTGTGTTTCGCTTCATGATGCCTCAGCGGCCCGTTGGGTTCTCGCCATGAGCGAAACGTTGGAATCCACAGCGAGGTCGTAATACGGCGGTACAAAAAATGGTGGTGTTTTGAATGTCAAAAATGGCCCAGGTATTCAAAATGGTTGGTGGAACAAGGTAGACATAGGTACATGACTTAAACCATCTTAAAGCATCTTAAAGCGTTTGATTTTTCGGTTCATGCCTTGATGGTGGACCAGTGGACCTGATGCCTGGGATCATCCCAATGGCGTGTCCCAAGGTCATGCTGCCTTCCCTGTGCGGCTGTGGTCAGCCCCTGGTGGGTGGCAACGAGAGGATGTGGTCGCAACTGCTGGGAAACTATCGATAACGAAGTCGTCTCAAAATCTGGAATTTTGTCGAATCCCTTGTGGAAAACCATGTTGTTTTCTGTGGTAAAAAGGCTAATGCGCTGGGAAACTATTCAATAGGTGATTTCAGACAAAACGATTTCAGCTTCAGGAAGGTCATATGTTGATGGACATCCAATGGTGCCTATATTTATCCCAAATCAGGCACCATTGGATGAGTGACTTTCCAGGAGTTTCCAGCCCATGACGATTACAGATTCATCCCAGCCATGATGTCAGACTTTCAGAATCTGTAATCGTGGCAGATAATGAAATCGTGTTCTATCTTCACTTTGTTTGCTGGTTCTATGTTCTAGTCTAGTGGTTGTACAGTAGCTTCGGTTAATAAATCCCTGCTCTGTGTCCATTAAGTAATCCAAGTGTATGTTGGCTGTGCCCCCAGCTGAGGTATGTTGTACATGTGTGTTTCAGGCACATATCGAGCATGTGTCACTGCTTCTGGGTCAAAGTAAGTTCTTAGTTACGGCAAACAAAAAACATGTGTTTTATCATTTTTTCTCCTACCCTTTGTTGTAGCACTTCCTGGTGATATCCATGTGATGCGTATCTCCAAAAGGTGATGCCATGGGCCAGGCAAAGCTTTGCAGAAGCGCTTGGACTTCATGTCGACGGCTCTGGCACGTCTGGACACCTCAGCTGTCAACGTCCTGGCAAGCAGCAACCCAAGGGGAAGGGGCAAAATTTCGATGGATTTATCTTGTGATGTTGGACTAAACATGTTGCTGAATATATTATCCGCATATACGTATGTATGCAATATACTATAATGCACTGGAATAAAAAGCCTGAGATCAAATGTTATCAATCCAGATCTTGTGCACTAGTTGTGGAATGCAGCCAGAACTATCATCAACCATTTGCAAAAATGTGGATGTATTGGTGTAAACTATTGGTTGTCAAACTGTGAAGGGTTTGACTTCGGAAAATTGTAATCCTTAGCTATGGAAAATGACAATTTTGAACAGCTACATCAGCTACATCAGCTACATCAGCTACATCATCCAGAAATTTGTTATTTTCCATAGCTGTTGGATTGCCAGAGGAAAACATCAACTATCCACAACCCTCCCAGTGTACAGCCCCCATCCCGGATGCTAGCCTGAGGCCGACAATGCGTCAGGCGTGAAGCTGATCAAGCTGGAATTGATTGGAATTAGCTAAGTTGTGCACCCCAAAAGCTAGTTTAAAAAAGTTCATGATTCATTATAGCAATGGATCATGATTTTTTTAAAATGTATTCCACTTCGCCAGATGATCCAGATGCCATGTTGATGCCATGCCCGTTGATTCCATGGCGCAGGCGAGACTCCAGGCATTGATCAGGCGAGCTTTGGGCGTGTTATGTTGGCGAATTGGACAATGGAAAACACCAGTCCTTTGGCGAATTGGAAGGATCCTTAGCTGTGACATGGCTATGGATCAATACCTATAAGCCTATAAGTACCATTTTTAGGGTGATGAACATCCATTTACCAGCTATTTTGAGGTTCACCAGGGGTACAAGGTTTTGACCCATCCCCACATGCTGTGATGATCTATGATGTGTGTGAAAACAACATCAACCCAATCTGGTTGAAGCCATTCCAATCAAAATCCATTCCAGTTTTTGTTCGGCTGAAACCATTGGCCATTCCACTTTGAAGCTCAAGGCTTCAGGTTCTGAAACTCTTCCACAGCAAGAACCATGGGGAAGAAAACATGTGTTGGATGATCTGGATGTGAATGATATCCTCAGATCCTGGTCTATTTGGATTATTTGGTTTCCTCCAAGTTTTTCCCAAAAACAGCCCTGTTTTCCATGTGAGAAGTCTCTCAACTACGCACCCTGGCAACGGTGCCAGGAGACTTCTCAGCCACCCGAGGTGGCAGAGGAGGTTCCAGGGCGATGCTGCCGGATCTGTTTGGAGGACTGGGACTGCGGAGAACCTGGAATCTGCATGACTGTTATGTATACTTTTATATAACTCTTGAAATTATATAATATATATATATATATAATATATATATATATATGATATATAACATATATATATATATATATACAGATAACATATATGTATTTATTGAGAAATCACTTTATAGATGTTCTTAAGATTATTGAGGCACTCTTTTTGGGTGGCAAGTTCCAGGGTCGAAGTTCCAGGAAGGAGGAGATCTTCTGAGTCCGTGCGTGTGTCGTGGCTCCGCCAAGTGCGCTACCCGGTCCAATGATTGGATGATTTGACCAATCATTTTACTTAGGCTACCTGTTTTCCTAGTTTTATAACTATGTAATGGGTTTTTTTCAATGATTGACCCCCATTGTTTATTGGAAACCTCCATGAATTATATAAGTTTTTACTTGGGGAAACCTGGAGTTATTTCAAGATGCATCTTGGCACTAAACAAATCTGATAGAATCTTTTGCCATGCAGGTACGTTCACATCGATTGCATCGAAGCTGCTTTTCGAGCACGTGGCTATTTGTCCGAGACTCACCTCCACTGACAATGTTGCATATAGGTTTGCATAGCCACTGGTCCAGTGATCCTGGACATGCTACGATCAGGTTGGATTTGGCCTGCCCGACATGCAAGCATCACTATGAAGGACCGGCTCGTCATTGGAGTTTGCCCTTCCTTGATTACCAGATCCTGATCGCCAAACATGATCATATATACATTATCAATGTTATAAACATATATATATATATATATTATATATATATATATATATATATATATATGGGTAAGTATACATTATCAATGTTATATATATATATAAATATATATCTGGGTGAATTATACCGACCTCACTGCGACCTCACTGGAATCATGGATAGTAAGGGAAATCATCCCCAAATGGCCGAACTATTCAGGTTAGTGAATTATTATAAGATATATATCATATATTGTTTCCCAGGTTCAGAGACGCATTTGGAGTTGTACCTGGCAGCTTGTGATAAGGTGGAAGGTTGGACGTGTCACAGGACCAGCAGCAGTCCGCATGGGTGCTGTGGCGCTCAGTGAGTGCTGACCTCAGGTCCCACCAACCGGCCAATGCCTTTCCCGGGTCATGGATGTGATGGATGTCATGGATGTCATGGATGTCATGAGCACTTCAACTCGTTTCTCCACTTTTTCAGCAGCTGAAGTCGATGCAAGCTGGCCAGCTTGCAGAGCTTGCAGAGCTTGCAGGTTGCAAACCCGCTACGGGGAAGAACACGCAATGGTTGGAGCTGCCTTGCACAATCTCGGCGTGGCGCAGCTCGTCCAGAGATCCACATGAATTCACCATGTTCAACTTGTCATTCTACACTCTACACACTCCGGAATGGTCCATTCATTCCAATCTAATTGGATGTCAAATCCATCAAGATGGATCGTTTGGATTCGTTTGGATCAAATCCACCTGGCCTGGCTTGGCTTTGAGGTATGGTCTTTGCGGAGATGCAGCGCAAGAGCGGCTTCATCTGGAGAAGGCCTTGGAAATCCAGGACCGTCATCGCGGCCGGGGAGAACGTCGCGGGGCTGTCGCGGGGCTGTGACGGCCAGGAACGAGAGTTTGGGCCTGACCACTGCGATGTGGCCACCACGCTCTCAAATCTGGGCAATGCCTACGATCGCTTGGGAAACATCCAAAAGCAGAAAGAACTTTTGGAGAGGGCCCTGGACATCAATGAACGAGAGTATGGTGTGGCTCTCAGGGCGCTGGTAAACTCCAACATCCGGATGTGTTATGATGTGTTTGCATTTAGTCACGGCAATTCGGATTGATTCTTATGCATTATAGTTTGATTATTTTGTGATGCATGACTATTCAATATTATTTGCATGTTTTTTTATATGTTTTCTTTTGAGGTCGTAGGAGAAGAAAGACTCAGGTCCAGATCATCATGTCGTGGCAACCACCTTGGTGAACCTGGGCAGCGTTTATGGAAGGTGCGGTGCCTGCGGTGTCCAGGTACTCAGCAGAGAGATGGGATCACTGCGGATGACATTTTCTGTCACTTAGACAAGATCAGATACAGTAATACAGTAATACACTGTGCTAGTGCCATGAAATGCCAGATGCACTGACAACATCCATCATCCATCTATATAATTTGATTTGGGCCATCCTGTAGGCTGGGCGAGCACGAGACGCAACGCGACATCTTGGAGCGCGCCTTGGGGATTATGGAAGCGGAGTTTGGGGCCAACAGTCACAAGGTGCATTGCATGGCGCAGCATGGTGCATCCGGAGGATTTGTCTTCATCACTGGGTTTTTGGGTGGGTTTCTGTGTATGCATGTGTATGGCTCGTGACAAGGGGGAAGGGATCATGATGGTTATGACATATTATGACATATTATGACCAGTTATGACTAGTTATGACTTATGACTCGTTATGACTTGTTATGACTCGTTATTGTTGATTCTGCTCCTTTAATCTGTTGATTCTGAGATATGATGTTGTTGAAGCAGCTGTTCTCAGTGGGGATTCTCCAGGTGTCCGCCAGCCTGGTGAACCTGAGCCTTGCCTACGGCGCTTTGGGGGACGTCAAGGGACAGGTGCCTCATCGTTTTTTGTTCGCTTCAGCCCGTTGGAATAGCCCTGAAATGGATGGTTAGTACTGAACTTTTGACCCATACCATCCCAATATATTATGGTATATTGTGGTATATTACTAGGCTGACAAAGAAGTTTCAAGAAGACTGACAGAGATCCAGTTCATCATGTTAATCCATGTTGGTCCATAATATACCTAAAAATATACCTAAAAATATACCATGGATCCATATCCTGCAGGGTTGTTCCATGTTGGTCCTCCGTTTGCCCAGCGTGACCTCCTGGAGCGGGCTTTGAAGATCAACGAGCAGGAGTATGGCCTGCTGCTGAGCAGATGGATTTTTCCACGACATTTGAAAAAAGATAGCCGGATAGGCCTTCTTTGGTGACCTGGGTGCTTCAGTTTCTGGGTTGTGACTCACGAAAAATCAGTTGACTAACATGGAATTTTTCAGGATGAATTGACTCCATCAATTGCCATCAACATGTTCGCATGGAGGTCATGACCATCGAGCTGTGGCCAACACCCTCCTGAATCTAGGCCAGTGACAGGGTGGATCGAAGATGATCGAAGCAGTTTGCATTCGGATCATCTGAAAGATCTGAAAGCTTAAGAAAAGGATAGAAAAGGAAAATGGATGAAAATGGAACCTGACAGATTGACTTAGTGTATCTTGGTGTAGTTTTTTGAGCAGACTTACTGTATTCAACTTAGTAAGCCTTTGATTCGGGATTGCCATCAAGACCCCATACACATAGTCTGGTGAGCTTTGACATTGAAGAAATCCAGGGACATGTCCAATATTGCCATTGTGGAGTGGGTTTTCCTTTGGATGGAATTTCTCTGAAATTCTCAATATATGCCAGACAATAATAATTAATCCATATCATCCATATCCTATTATAGCCAATGATATCCAGACATATAATATGTCAATATATGCCAGACATATTGTATTGATCCTCCAATATCCTAATTGTAATTTTCAGTGGCAAAAAGATCCTCCCCTAGAGATGTTGGACGCTTGAATTCAAAAGCCAGGCAATGTCTATGGCTGCCTGGGTGATGTTGGGGCCAAGCGAGATTTTCTGGAACGATCGTTGAAGATTAAGTCTGAGAACTCAGCAGAGTGTTTGCAGAGGAGGAAGATAGGGATGTAACCTGCAATAGTATGAGATGTATATAATATATATATATATGATAATAATATTATATATATATATATACATAATCATATATATATATATACATATTAGATGTACTGTGTATACAAACAAAATAGTGGAACGATCATGGCTATGATATCGCCAAACAATTGTGGTGCAGCCAATGAGTAAGTCCAAACGTGCAGATATCTTGGCAAAACCAGGAGTGTGGCAATGGGGATAGAATCATCATTTATTGAGAGGATTCGAACACAGAAATACCAGCTGTCTTTGCGCCCATGTGTACCATTCTTGGCCCATGTTGACCTGTAAAACTAAACTTTCAGGATCTTTCTGTGGTAAGGATATCACCTGGTGATTTCAATATGATATCACTTGGATCATGATGCTTTGCTTCTTACTTGGGGGTTGCAGTCGGGGGGTCCTTTTAGGGGTATAATATGGTATAATTAATCATGTGGCAATAACTCCCATAAGTTGGAATAGAACCCCTATATACTCCTATAACTATGACTGCCACTTCGCAAGTGGGCACTGAACTGGGGGAGTCCGGCCTGGCCAAGGCAACGCGAGTTCGGACCCGAGCATGCTGAAGTAGCGAAAGCCTTGGTTCCTTGGCTTTTTGGGGGCCGATTCCGTCCTTCAGTAGATTGGATGTGGGATGCCTTGAATCAGCATCTTGAATTCCAATGGGTTCTCATGGATTTCTCACCTTTTTTCCCATCAAAAAGAGCTGCAAAAATGGCATTTGTTGGGAGTAGAAGGTGAGCCTTGGCAACGCCTACGGCGATTTGGGGAACGTCTATCACCAGAAGGAGCTCCTCGAGAAGGCTCTCAACATCCAGGACAGATATCATCACCATGATGTTACAAGTTTAGTATGACCATATTAATTATTATTTAATTATTAAATGATGTTGATGGCATATAATTATATTATATATATATATATTATTAGTATTGTATAATAATGGTCCCATGATTTATATATAGACAATATTAGGATATACAGCATTTTTGTTGATGAATTGGATCTATGATAGTATAACATCTATGATGGTAGATGATAGTATCCACGATCTATCCATGATGGGATAGGGGAGTTAAAGCTTAAGAATCTATGGTACCCGGTATCCGGTCGTCAAAGATTTGCTGGAAAATCCCCAAGTCCACGGATTTTCAGACCTCCAGCCAGAGAGACTCGAGAGTGGATTTCCCAGCCAGAGATGTTTTTTGGAGGGTAGAGTTGGTGGAGTTTTTGATTTATTGTTCTTCACGATAAATGATATGATATGATATATGATTAAACCAGGACATTCTTATGATTTTTAATGAAATCTTGAGGACAAGACTGCAACATCTCATTTATGAGTTGCCCGTCCTGGTCTCTCGTCTTTAACTGCATGTGATCTTGCCAGCAGGAGAGACACTTTGGTTCAGACCACTGGGAGCTGTTAGAACCTCAGTTTCTTCCAGATGCCCAAGTTGGAAAATATGTCACTTAGGTATACTCATGTATGTATTTGTTTGAATAGTTAACATAATTTGATATATGATCAATGTCAAGAACCCACATCTAAAACAATTTGAAGGATCATAAATTTGGCTGTCTCAAAACCTTGTACCCCTGGTGAACATCAAAATAGCTGGTAAATGGATGTTCATTCCCGTAAAAATGGTATTAATAGGTATTGATCCATACCCATTTCTCCATAAGGTTTCTGAATCGATTTCCCTGATGGTGGGTGTGTCAAACCTTGGTCGGGTGTCCAATCTCTCTGGGGTCTTTAAGAACTGGTTGCAGGCTCAGTTCCTTGACTGGCTTGAGTATGGTCTATGACCGTTTGCGCGATTTCCACCGCAAGAAGGCGCAAAAAACGACACCCTGATGTCGCAGATTGGTTGCAACCTCCAAGAAACCATTGAATCGAACCTATGAAACGCATGACTTAACTTGGTATATTTGTATATACACCTATATGCATAGGACCTCACTTTTGCAGATTTGCCAGACCTAGTGAGACCTAGTGTTCTTGCTCAACTGTGCACATGGCGGAAGCTCTGTTTTGCTCTTGCTGATTCGCACAGAGATATCGATCCCTTTTTCCTGTCTATCCAATTGACAGCAATGTGTTTCTCATTACCACCGTATTCCTTAACTTATTGCCATCTATATATAATACATCATATATAATATATAGACCATGTTGAGTTGTTGATCATATAATATCATATATTCATCCAGGATTGATGACATATTCATACATATTCCACATCATGGGCCAAGTTACCGTCATGAAATTCCCATCTGACTGGGGGAAAACCTTCCGTCCAGCTACGGACTTCTCCAGGAGCTGCTGGAGAAGTCCGTCAGCATCATGGAGCGAAGCTTCGGCCAGGACACCCAGCCCCAAAAAATCACCATTTTGGGTGGTAACAGTGGTAAGCATCATGCAAAAAATGATAAGAAATTGGAGGTTTCTGAAAAACAGGTTTACCAGTTTACCATAGTTTACCACATAAAAAAAAATCTGGCAGGTTGGAAGCTTGGAAGAACTTGTGAATGGTCTGTGGATTATCCTATAGCCATTATCACACTTGTGCTTGGATTGAAGCTTAATGGTGCTTGGGCTTGGAAGACCAATTCGTTCGTACTACCTGTGCCCAGGTCGATGTAGAAAATTGTACATGTGATCATCGGGTCCTGCCATCCCACCTTCCATGACTGAACTCAAGTTTTTCTTTGTGGAGTTTGTTGACATTCCTATTTTGTATTGAACCCAACTCTGGGTCAGTATAGTTGGAGTAGGCTAAACAAAGCCCCCAGCTTTCTAGATTCGGAGGATTTCGGATGTTTGGAGGCAGAAGCCTGATGTGACAACAGATGTGTCTTGCGAAACGAATGTAATAATCAATGCAATGGACATAAATAATGATAATAATGGACTATGCCAAGTGAAAGCTTTAAGATAGATGGCATAAAGGAATCAAGAGGCCATTGCGCTCGACATTGATTTTTCCTTACACCGCAGTCACGAACAGCAAACAGTACGCCCTCAGGCATCGAACACTACAACGTGGGTGTGATCTTGGCTGCCAGTGGCACAGCTATCAATGAGAGTGTAAACATCAGTGATTGGCCTTTCTCAAGATCAGATATCAGGCAGCACGAAAGCACATTACTTCAATAAGATAAATGATATACACCACTTTGTGCATCCCCAGATGTTGAATGCGTAATGTGAACACACCCATTTCACAGTTGATTGATGTTCAGTTTCGCAATTTGTGGACTGTGGCTCCAAGGCCTTGGCACAGACCTGTGGTGATTTGGGAGACTTCAAACGAAAGAAGGCCACGAGTTCCGAGGGAAAACAACGGTTTGGAAGACGGCCTGCATTCAAACCTTTGTTACCCATAGGATCCATGTATGCCATATATGGTAGCATTTACCATTAATATACCCCCAATGTTAGCATATATACCATACATGGATCCTATGGGTTATTCCATGTTCTTCCCCACTATTCCCCACTTTTCCCCACGATTCCCAATTCCTTTGTTCGTTTTGCCGGAAGTAGCGGAGGATCGCCATGTGCGAAGTTTGAAAGACCAGGTGATTTGGGGGATAGGAAGTTGAATGCTTTACTGGTCACTAGTCACTAGTGGAAATAAGCCACTAAATCGATGGTCTGAGATGGTTTTCAGCCGAAAATCAGGGTTTCCTGTGGGCTTTTCGGAGGCCATGAACCGATATCAGCTCAGTCCTCAGGTACTCCTGCAACGTTCGGTGAGAATCATGGAGCTGAAATTTGGGTTGGGAAACCCGGCTGGCAGTTTGGGAAACCGCTGGCGATTTGGTGGCAAACGAGACCTGAGGGATGCAGCATGATGCAGGATGATGCAGGTATAGGGCATTTCCACAATTTTCCACAGTTCAACAAATCAACTTCTCCAACTCTAACGTTCGACAGATGCGGTTTCCACGCAAAGTTGGCGGTCTGAACAATATCGGAATGAAGGTTTGTGTGTTTGTTGGTTTTTTGAAGCAATATGGGGGCTGCATGGGGGCTGCAAACCATAAGTCATAACTCACAACTGCAACTCGACTCTAGGCAAGAACATGGGGTTAATAAAGATCAGCGTGCGCCAATAAAAAATGATCAAAATTGAAATCACTTGAAATCTGAAACTCTGGACAGGCAACAGCATCGAAATGTGGCCGTTTACTTGGTGGAGATTGCCCACACTTGTGAAAAGTGAGTGGCCCAGGGACGAGAGAAGACACTCAAATCATCGCCACTACTCCATGTTGAGCAAACTCTAGGAGACTTCATGCTCAACATACTCAACCTGGAAGCCCAAACAACCAGAAATACATGGTGGTTTCTAGTGAAGAATCCCTAGATAACAATAGATAACAAATGGGGAATGTTTGGGGAAACAGCAGATCTATTTCTGGTTGTTGGGTGTTCCAGGAATGCCATCTCCTGGCAGCCAAGGTTGGGTGAGATCGAGACTCGTGACAAGCTTCTGTTGCGAGCTGGCCAGGGCCCACGATGACACATGACGTGCGATGTGTTGTGCGTTTGGTGGTGAATGGCTTTCCATGGTTGCAGTGAACCCCGACCCCCATGATCCAAAACTGCAGTGGCAAGTGTCACAATCTCACATCCCTTTTGGTTTGGAGGGTTAGGACTTAGGGTTGGAACTTCAGCCCCAACAGAACACACATGCCGCCATCCAGTGGTTCAAGTGCTGCAAGGTCAAATTGAGGAGTCTGAGAAGAAACGAGCCTCGCTCGAGAGTCAAGTTGGACTGACAGGTGCGTTGTGTCACTTCTGAGTTGACTTTGGGAGCACAAAGCACATCAACTCACCTTCATTGTCATTTTCACAAGTTATCTCAAAGAACCTTCACGGTACCAGTTAGCTCAGTTAGCTGAGACATGCTGAAACATGCTGAGACATGTTGAAACTATCTCTTGATGTCTTTTGATTCTTATTTTTTTGAGTTGTGAACTGCACAATGCATGGGATCCTCCAGGGAACATGGTTTGTTGCAGGTCGCATTCGCGCGAGACTTCGGTGGATCTTGCAGTGTCCTCTCCGTGCCCCCCGCTCCGTTGGGGGCCATAACGATGTATGGAGCAGTCTCAGTAAGAACCTTCGGTGTCGCAGCGTATGACCGCATGGTGGCTTTACATATATGATTAAGATCTCAATACCCCAAGCGAGCAATTTATTTCTTTCTCACACTTTCAGTTCAAGCCGACAGATATCTCTGGGATGGGTTGAAACCGGTTGAAACTGCCAGATTCAGATACAAACGGATGCTGGATGATGTATTTTTTTTGATATGTGCGGTCATGGCCGGCACCTATTCCATTCCAGTATTGAATGTACCATCCTGCAATAGCTGAGGGATCAGCCGTGATGGCGAAGTGTCCGAAACGATGTCGTCAACAGCCGACAGAAGATGAGTGGTGAAATGTAATGAATTCCATGGTCTTCATATCACCTGATCGTTTTGTTACCTCGAAAATCCTGGAAATGGTTCCATGGAGCTTCTTTATATCCAAGAACATTGAGGACTCGCTTTTTCTTTGCCACAATGAAATCGAGAAATATAGGTTATTGGAGGACGATGGAGGTCGCATTATTTTACATTGACCATTCTTCACATTTCTTCACCACACATGAAGACCATGGTTTGCTTTCCAATTGTTTAAGGACAGAGGTGCCCAGCACAACTGCTGCGGACAGAGTCTCACCTTTCCAACAATCCCCTGCCACCGATGCCCATGGATTCCCTCTAGTGGTTTCACTCGTGATAGTCAATCATTCAACAGCCAAAGGCAAAACTTCGACGCTTGAGGTTGATGGGTCAACTGGTTGACAGATGTTGACAGAACATGTTGAGATGTTTCTTGGAGGGTGCATTTGGAATTATTTGGATACACTTTGTATGTTCTGCCATCTTCAAAATGGACGGATTCCACAGGAAAGGCCAGCAAAAACAATACTACCTTTGCCTCATGTTGTACCCTGAAGTGACATCCTTTGATATCAGTCATTTTTTAAAACATATGACCTCAGCCGCAAGCAACTCCGCCAAGGAAATGCTGTCACCTTCCCTTGGACCTATCCTTCCACCTGCCGTGGAGGGGTTGGAGGATGATGATTTTTTACCTCCGCAGGATGGGTCAAACTGGCCTCATTGGGATGGTTGCCACCCCATCGCTCAAAAAGGGAGACACCGAAAATGAGTAGATCCATTTCTACAGCAAGGTGTCTTATTGTTTCTTAGATTCTAGATGTTTCTAGGAGCTGTTCATCAATACTCTAGGGGAGAAGTCTTGAAACATCAAAGTCTAATTAAGAGTCTAGTTCCACAGGCCAACGGCTCCTGGAAATGTGGCACTGAGCTGCAACACCTTTGATCTGGGTCAAAGCCAGAGTCCCCCTGTTTTTTGGATGGCGTTTAAGACCTGTTGAATCCAATGTTTGCAAAGATCTCGCATCCAAGAGGTGGTGGGGAACTTGCATAAATTTACAGTACCTCAGTACCCCCCAACTTTTGATGATTTTGATGGTAAACACACGGGTTTTCCATGGTTTTCCTGTAATAATTCCCCGAAACCAATCGACTGTGGATGTTGAGACAGCCAGTTGGCTTCCAGGCCATCGACACGGACAACTTCATGAACCGTCGGTTGGCGCACCAGTCCTATAAGTCCGGAGCACAGTAGCTGCCTTGATTCGCCAACAAAATGGTGATCCAACGGATTTTTTTTGGTGATAGAAATGACGAGATTTTTGCTGTCCCAAGCAAGATATAATCACTGTCCCAAAGCCCTGTTGGTTGTTTAACATATGGGGTTATATACTATCCAATATCATGGGCATTGTTTAATCCATTGGAAGAAATCCTATGAACCAGCATGTTTCAGTTCCGGTGTAACACCGAAAGTTGTTGCCTCGATGAGTCAGACTCACTGGCTGAACTGTTGAGCCTGCAGAAAGGGTGTTTTGTGTGCCACGTTCCGCCTGAGGATGGGTCTTGATGAAGATTTGTGAGCTGTGAGCTGTGCAGTCACCGATGATGTGCCTTCTCAGGGCCAAGGCATTCGAAGCTTTTATTCACCCCGGAAGATTTGCCAAACCTCAAGCAAGTGTGCTTCCCTTATTTGACCTTGCCTGCGGAGGTAAGGCATTGCTTAAGAATGTACAAAGTCACGTGCAACGGTTTGCGGCCTGTCAGCGTCAGCGACGGCCCCAGTTGCTGTTGAATGGTGGTTGGCTGGCTTGTGCAAGCAGTATCACGTCAAGTATAATATGTCATCAGCACAAACGAAGGAAGCAAACGAGGGAAGATGATTGTGAGATGTTGTGAGTTTGTACATGAGCGCTTGAGACCATTCCAACCATTCCAAATCTTAATATGACACTGAAGATGCCTGGGAAAGCCATGTGTCAAGATCTGAAATGGGGACTTGTGAATCAAACTTGGGCCAAACAGCAGGATGGTTTGTACATCCCCAAACAAGCATTTGCAGATCTTTGCGCCGAAAGTTTGACGTTATTCCCTCCTTCAAATGGTGAACCCTGAGTTTGTAAGCCTTCTGATAAAACAGCCGTGCCAACCACCACTCCTCGCACATAAGCCCTGGAAGAATCCAACGGCGGTGCGGATTTGGAGACGCTAGAGCCGCTCGAGTCAAAAGTAGCGCCAGCTTCGAACGGGGAGACGGGAAGATTCGCATGTTCCTCACCATTGGAGTATCCCGAGATTGGTTTTCTTATGTTTTGCCATGTTTTGCCTACTATTATTGGAATAAATAACTATCTTGGATGATTTTGAGGTCTCTCCATTTTAAGAAACGTGTGCATTTCAAACTTGCCTGACTTCCATGCAGAGTTGGTGCGATTCGTGGGCCCAAAAATGATCCATTGGCAAACGAAGACATGGGTCGCCAAATGGCTGGAAAAACGGCCCAAAAAAAAGTGAGCAGTTTTTTCTTTTTGCCCAAGCATCAAGCACTTTTCATACAATTTCGCCATATTTCACCATAATCTGGGTGTCTTGGTCAAAACGCAGTAGTTCTTCAACTGGAGGCCAACCAGTGCTGCCATGGCGATGATCTCTTTTCGCCGCCTCAAACTCCGAAGCGTTCCCCGGTCGCAGCAGACTTAGCCGGGGGAAGTGGAACATGTTTCTGCCATTGTCACAGCAATCATTCCACCATCATCTCTCTGATATTGCACCTTCCATTTTTCTGTATTCACAGTTGCAGGGCTGAGTAATGTCCGTATGCTATCTTTTGCTGTCGATCAGCTTTATCATCTCCATTTCACCTCAATCGCCAAGCTGAATCTCAAATATCACCTGCCGCAGGCCGCAGGATGCTGTTTGGAATCGTTTGAAGTTGCTTTCAAGTTTTCACGATTTGTCTGATTAGGCATTCAGGAATCAACATGGTGCTTACATGTGCTTACACCTGTTCTATAAGCGATCTCAAAATAATAAGATCGGCCGTTATTGGAGTGAATTGGTCATGTCCCTGCAGCAGTGTCCACCAGGTTTGAACCACCAGCTTTAAGAGCCACTTGGAAAGCACAGCAACACATGTCTGCAGCGGATTTTAGTGCGCTTGAATGGGCTTGACCTGTTTCAGATGTGGCCAATTCAATGTGAGATTTGGAAGTTCAGTTTTCCGTTTTTCTTGTCATGTTGTCTCATGGCATCAGTTGATAGCATCATCGCGCTGGCGTGTGCTGTGCTCAAGTGTTTTTTGTAGGATTGTTAATGAACCTATAGGGTCAGCAGCTGCAGTGGGTCACCAAGAAACTCGCGACTTATGACGGCAGTACCTGCAGTGGCAGCGGTGATTGGTATCCGGCACTACGATCGTCACAGGTCGCTGCCTAGTTGCCACAAGGATGCTGAGGAAATCTGCAAAGGCTTGCGATCAGGGCAGTTTCCAGGTGAAGCAGCTAAGGTGTACTATGATGCAGACAGAACCACAATTCTTCAGGCTATCAACCGCCTCAGTGAAGCGGTTAGGAGCGGTGCGCGCTTCACATGGTTCCATTATTCCGGACATGGAATATGGTACCAAGATGATCTCCACTTAGTCCCCTCTGATTCTCGCTATTTTGAAGCCAATGTTCCGTTCAGCTCAATTCTGGAGTCTTTGAGCAAACATGAGACTCAGGGATGCTTGCACATAATCACTTTGGACTGCTGCCAAACGCTGCCAGAGCGCCAGAATGTCCATAGCAACTCCAGCTCGGGCGTTCGTGGAGGTGGAAGGAAAGACGAACTATTCAAGAAACTTTATAACTTCTCACCGTCTGCCAGCGGTCATGAAGTCGTAGTCTTTGGTGCTTGTGAGAAGTTATGTGTCGTTCCAGATAGAGAGGATCCAACCCGGTCAAACCCATTCTCTGGGCATATAGCCAAATTTTTGCATCAAGAGAATTGTAAACTGAAGGATTTTATAAAGAAAGTGAATCGCTTGGTGCTGACGGAAACCCAGTGTAAGCAGAGGCCAACGATTTGCCACCTGAGCCCTGAGAGCTATGATGCCATTATTACAGCTGCCACACAAGCAGATGAAATCTGGTGCAGCGACCAAATTAGGCAAGATCTGGAGCACAAAGGTCGTGCAGGACAGATTGTGCTTGCGCTAGACTACGTCATGAGAGTGTCGTCCCCGCGGGACAGCGACCGCTTTTTGATTGTCTGCGATGGAACCATAGGATGTGGAAAGACATTTTTCTTGAACAGACTTTGCCGGTCTCAACACATGCCACACATACGAATCTGTCGAGAGCCCGTTCCAAAGAGCGAAAAGAAATCGTGGTGGAGCTTGCTCGAGAAGTTTTACCATGCCATGAGCACAACTGGCCCGAGGCAATCTCCACACAAGGCAGTGATCCATTTGCAAAATACAATCTTGCAGCACCACCACGACATCGCCACAAGCAGAAGCACACATATTATTACGGAAAGGAGTTTCTCTTCCTCTGTACGTGTGTTTTGCAAGGCTCTGCACGATAAGGGGATATTGCCGAAGAGTTCCTGGGCACAGTTTTCATGATAGCGTCCACGAGACAGGGGGTTAAAAATCACCAAAAATGTGTCACTTGACCCTACTGCCTATCCTGGTAGTATCTGGTAGTACTGTTTACTTACTTGGTCGATATATATTTGGAAGATTTTGGATGATTTGGGAAGTAAAACAGACACTGCATATGGCACGGGGCTTCTCTCAGTCAGAAGAGGGCACGGATGTGTTTGTTCAAGTTGTGGCTCGGCTCGCCAAATCTATGACTGGCCCTTTTGATTCACCGAACGTATGAGTAGCCCAGTTTCTTGACGGAAAAAGTAGAACATTCCTGCAACCTTCTTGAATCATCTTGAATAATCTTGAATCTTGACTATCTTCGGAGCTTTTCTCATCTCTTGTGTAAATACTCGCTGACCCTGCATGGCTGAATTTTAAGGCTTTCAGGCACGCAATGTTATACACGTCAATCTGCTCTCAAGGTAAGGACTCTAGGAGTCGACCAGAAAACCAATGATTCCACTTTTACGCCACTTGCTGTCAAGGTCAGTTCGACAAGTACAAGGGAGACCTGGAAGCCATGGAAGCGAATCCGTGCCATCAGCCAACACTCGTTCTTTATTTCAAGATGCCAGTGAAAGAGGCGCTGCTCCGAATCAAAAAGCGAGCTCGCTTCTTTGAGAAGGACATCGAAGAAAACTATATGAAGCTGTTGGAGGCAGAATATGAGACCCACTACAAGAACCGAGAGGACTGGGACAGGGTTGAACCAAATATGTTTTCAATGTTCTGTGCCACTTGATTCTGGGTCAGCCGCCACGGGCTATCCCCACAACTTGGAGGATGTGGTTGAGTTGTGATTGCAATTGATTCAACTATGTCTGCGGATGAGATCAAGAAGAAAGTTGCAGATCACCTTCATGACAACAAAGCCAGATACTGCGAGGTGTTGAAGAAAAAAGGCTACCCAGAATCTCAGGCAAGAAAGCTGCTGACCCTGATGATAAGTTTTTTCAGCAATTAAACCAATGTACCGAAGAGTGGCTGCAAGATTTGTACAGTAAGCTTGTTCCATGGTTTTTTACCGCATCGCGTGTCGGGTGCCCCTCAAATAGATCGAATAGATCATTTTTAAAATGCGGATTTGTTATCTGGGAAAAAATACTGGACCATTTGCCATCCAACATATGTTTTTTGGGAAACAGGTGCCGCCTCATAGGGGGCCACCCCAGCGTCACCCTTTCAGCTCGCTGGATGGTTGGAACCTCTCCGCCATCGGACGCTGAATGGCTGCGACCAGCTGGTCTGATCTCAACGAGGTCCTGCATGGCTGTAAAAAAAATTGTGAAAATGTAAGACGGAAAGCAAGTTTTTCTACTAGTTTCTAGAGCCAATCTCGACAATATTGACCACAGGATTGCATAACATGGATTCATTCGTTCATGTGAGATGCTTCAATGATTTGTTGAAACAAGGTAGGATTGGCCACATTTGCAGGGCCATGTGCGAGGGAGGTATAGAAGGCTGGTCCATTTCCTGCACATCTTAATTCAGCATAGAATCGATGCATATCAAGATCTTGGAGTTCCTATCCTGATCCCCGCAGCGACCGTTTCTGCCAGCTGCAAACTCAGTCGGTTGCATGCTGGGACATCTTCCAACAAAACAAAAGGTTGCTCCAGAGTGCGTTGCCTTGAAACCGCAGAGCCAGAGGCAGATGGACTGCCACTTACAGCTTTACGGCTAAACACTTTCAACTCTTAGACAGACTTAGACAGCATTTTTTCATTGGTTTGCAGGGCATTTCTTAGTCCTATTGTGTTTTTGTTTCCGGAAACAGGAGAGCAAATAGCAGCTGCTCTTCACATGTCTAGAGGCTCCAGACCATCCAACAGACAGGGTGCAGGGTGCAAAGTTGCCCGGTGTAAAGTCGCCCTTTGGTCGCCGGTTTCCGTTGGTGGCTCCCCGGCACAGTTTCGTAACGACATCCGCTGGATTCATCACAACTGACACATTTTGACGCCTTGTGTAGTTGCCGTTGCCATTGGGACAACATCAAAATCACCAGCGGCAGCATCATCAACATTCATCATATTCATCGCTAATCGATCAAGGGAGCCACCCTTTGCAGCAGATGGCAGCAGCAGAGCGCATCGCTTTACAGGCGCCGCACGGATCGTCTGGCCTTCGCTAGGTGATCGATGGAGTTGTGGAATTTCACTGGTGACACAATTTGCTTCCCAGATACAGTAGTCGAGACATGACAATATGAGTCATTATGGATAGACCCAGCATCACCGAATTTGACTCCCCAAACTGCCCAAAGCCATGAACTCCAGATCTGGACTGTTTGGGGAGATTGATGAGATCCCATTTTCAGGGAAGACATGGCGTAATGAATATTTGACTGTTTGTGGCAGTGAGGAGCTCCCTTGAAGTGGCCCTGCTCACATTTGGTCTCCATCAAAGTAGACACTTGAGTTGCTTGAGTTCTTGAACGGGGTCGGTACACACCGTGGAAAGTTATACATAATCATCACAATGGGTGTTGGTATGTGTTGGTTCAGGACCGTAGCAAGTAGCTGCCCCAACCGGTTAAACAGACTGTTGAATTTGTCTCGCTGATCAGATAAATTCCACAACTCGAGCATCACAGGAACGCTTCAAGAAATTCAGTTTTGCGGCCGTTGTGCAAAGACTATGGTGTGCCATTGACTCACTGGGGTCTCCAAAACGCAACTATAGTTGTTTGTAGATTCGACCCCAAAGTTTATGCGTGATGGTTTTGGGGTTCCCATGGGTCATGACACCATCACCACAGCCACGTAGGACTATGGTAGGAGTAGATTAGGCCACAAAAAGACATCAGTCAGGACCACGTCCAGACGCAACTGAAAAGCTGCACTTTTGTGGAGATCAGGGAGAAAGGGCCCCAGGGGCCTGTGATTTTACAGACTTCATGGAGGGGTGGAATCCAAGGTCAGATGGGTAACATGGGGTGGTTCCTCAAAGAGGAGCATGTCTCAAGGTCTTTGACACCAACACGATTGCATGTGAGACATTGAAGATTCTTTCAGAATCGTGTCCCAATGAAGTGTCGGTAGTGCGTAGTACAAGATCTGCCTTGCTAATGAACGAATAGAAATTACAGCAGTCACGGAGATCAACCTTGTGATTGTGACATGTAGGTTGCACTGTTATTAGAGTATTCATGAAGAAATGTTGTGCCGATGACTCTGATGACCCACAAAATCTGGTTAGGACCTCAAACTCCCTCAAACTCCTCGAGTTGTTACAACCCATAGTGGAATGACGCTTGAGATACAGCTGGGTTTTGACTTTTGATCTAAGACACTACGGCTGAACTGTTGGGCCTGCGTTCCCCCGCCTGAGGATGGGTCTTGATGAAGATTTGTGAGCTGTGCAGATTGTGCAGTCACCGATGATGTGCCTCCTCAGGGCCAAGGCATTCGAAGTTTTTATTCGCCCCGGAAGATTTGCCAAACCTCAAGCAAGTGTGCTTCCCTTATTTGGCCTTGCCTGCGGAGGGAATGGATTGTTGAAGAATGTACAGAGTCAAGTGCAACGGTTTGCGGCCTGTCAGCGTCAGCGACGGCCGACGGCTGCAGTTGCTGTTGAATTGTGGTTAGCTGGCTTGTGCAAGTCAAGCAAAATTAATGACAAAAGAATACAAAAGACACATACCTTTGGGCATCCTTTGGGCCAAAATATCGACACTTGCCATCACATGCAGAAAGGGAACCCCTTATTTTTTGTCCCATTCTTTTAAGTCTTCTGAAGCCACAGCCTTGTCAACTTCCACTCCTCGCACAGCCCTGGAAGATTCGGTGCGGATCCGGAGACGCTCTGCGAGTCAAAAGCACCGTGATCGCGGGGAGATTTGGTGGCCTGCTGGACATCCTGGTACATCGTGGGACCACGTTCAACATGGAGCTGTGCATACCCGCTTGTGCAAGTCAAACCTGCCTGACCCATGCAGAGTTGCTGCTCAATGTTGGATGCGCGCGGATGAGCCTTGCAATTCCTGATTCATGGATTGTGAATGGGCACATGTGATGAAATGGATCAAGAAGGGAAGCGTAGGGCAACATGGAGCAATCAGAACTATTTGCCCAGGCATCAGGCATCGAACAATCTGGGCCTTTCCCTACAACCTGGAAACAATCTGACGTGTTTGTCCAAACTTGGCATTTTCCAACATACTGCAGCCCAACCAGTGCTGCCATGTCGTGCGAGGAGCTCTTCTCCCCACTTCGAACTCCCAAACGGCGCGGTCATCGCAGAAGACTTAGTCACAGAAAGCGGAACATGCTTTATCAAGTGCCACAATTCCAAATCATGTCATGTCTGATATGTTTCCGTCAGTCTAACTTTGAAGTTTCAGGGTATGTCCTGGATTTGTTGGTCATCCACTCTTTGATGCTGTTGAACAAAGCTATGTTTCACGAGGTTCCCATCTCAGTATGTTACATAAATTCATGATTTTTCTTCTCCGGACTCCAGCTCTGTTCTTTTCATGACACCTGGAACGCCAAGCTTCGATGTGTTGTCTTTTCGCATATGCTTTGCTCCAAGACATTCTGCAGGACTGTTTGAACATGTTTTGGGACAGGAACACATTCTACACTTAACTTTTAAATTACTTTGAACATCTTTGAACATGTTTGAACCAGTAGAATCCAGACCAGTCCTTGGTTGAAGTGGGTTGGCCATGTGCAGACTGCAACATCGACCAGGTTTGAGCCACCAGCTTGAGCTCCTTGGCAAATGTTGTGCCCAAGCGCTGGTCGGATCAGGGAAAGCAAACCAACACGTTCGACCAGCGGGGTTTTGTGCACTTCACTTGCATGAGCTACTTCTGAGATTCTTCTGAGCGTGGTTTCCAACTCCTACACTATGCTTATTAGAGTACCTTAGAGGTTGTTCCTTGTGAAATTGACCACCTGTCTCGCTGCTGACATTTGCTTGTCAAGTTTATGTAGGATATTACTGTAATGTACAAAATGATCGGTCAGTGCCTACAGGTTAGTCGGCGGAAACAACACTGGGCAAAACATCACTCATGCAGGGCTGTGGTGATAGGCAACCGGGGCTATTTGAACCATCAGGAGCTTCTGAGTTGCCACAAGGATGCTGAGGAAATGGCTAAAGCCTTGCGCGAAGGACAATTCCCAGGTCGAGCTACTTTGGAGCTCCGCGATGCAACACGCAGAGAGATCTTTCAGGCCATTGATCGCCTTACTCAAGCAGCCCGGACAGGTGCAACCTTCACATGGTTCCATTTTTCAGGACACGGAGTCTGCTACAATGATCATCTCTGCTTGGTCCCATCCGATTCTGCCCGCAACGAGGACAACATTCCCATCCACTCAATTGTTGCGAGTTTACGTAAGTGTGTGAGTCAGAGATGTTTGCATATGATCACTCTAGACTGCTGCCAAATATCGTCAGAGGATGACCCAACAACAGCTAGTTCCAGCTTTCGCTTCCGTGGAGCAAATAGGGAAAAAAATGAAATTATCCGGAGGAAGCTGAACAAATTGTCACTGTCTGCCAGGGGTCATGAGGTCTGCATTTTTTACGCTTGCGAGAAGTTCTGCGCTGTTCTTGACGGAGAAGACCCAGAGTGCTCAAATCCATTTTCCCGGACTTTGGCCAGATTTTTGCATGAGAAGGACCTCAGTCTGTGGTATGTCATTTCACAGGTGACCAGTGCTGTGGAGCAGGAGACCGAGGGTAGCCAAGTAACAACTATTGAGCACATCAGCCCAATCGGAGGCAGTGGTCGTGTCATCACAGCCACGACAAGAACCAAGAGCACTTCTGTGAGCTTTGAAGAAGAGTCGAAGAGGTTGTCTGAGGATTTCCTTCTCTGGATCCAACAGTTACAGCCGTTACCGATGAATCATTTCTTGATTGTGTGCGATGGAATCATTGGATGTGGTAAGACCACGTTCTTGGACGAGCTTTCCAGGTCCATGCCACTTGGGCCCCCTGAAGTGCAGATTTTTCGAGAGCCCGTCGCAGAGGATGCTGATAACACCTGGTGGCAATTGCTTGAGGACTTTTACAATCACTTGCACAAACCTGGCTCCACAGAGTTTTCATTTGATCCCATCCTCAAGTTGGAAGAGACAATATGGGAACACCACAGAAGCATTGCAACCACCAGGAGCGCACATGCAATCACAGAGAGGTGTTGTTCTTCCGCGGTGCAGGTGTTCTGTGCGGCCTTGCATGAGCAGGGGAATTTGCCAGACAGTGCCAATGCCTGAAACCGTTTCCTTCCACTAGACTAACTTGGCAATTGGTACTATCCTTTAAAACTCCTCGGTTATGTGACATATAAACCTTTGCCCTGGAACATGTCTGTCCTTGCCATGTTAGTCTAGAGGATGTACTCGTACAGATTTGTATAGTTATGTTAACTAACTTTTAGAATAGATGCACGTCAATCGATGCTTGATATCTTTTTGACCTGTACTCAAGAAATGGAACGAAAAATAATTCAAGTAAGCACAGAGGGTGTTTCTTTTACCTTGTGGCCTGATCAACTATGATAAACTCATGTGTGTAAGACCATCGGCTGCATTGTGAAGTTTGCCTGGCTGCAAGAATGCAGTGGAGTTGCTGCAATTCAACAAAAAGAATCACAAAAAAAGAACATGGAGTCAAACTCTCAGTTGCATGAGGTAGCACTTTTGTTTTGCAGCTTCGTCATTTTGACTTTTAGGCCGCATTGTGTGTCAAGGTCAGTTCAAAGAGTTTGAGGAAAAGCTCGCTGCTATCGATGCAGATCTTCGCTACGCACCAACACTCATTCTTCATTTCAAGATAACGGTGGAGGCAGCCATGATGCGCATACAGAATCGAGCTAAAGTGGAAGGCCGGTGGTTTGAGAAAGACATCACTGAAGAGTATTTGCGGAATTTGCTGGCAAAGTATGAGAGTCTCTACGAGGGTCGCAAGGACAGGGTTTGACATAGCTGTTGGAGTTTTCGAACAGCTGGATCCCCTAGGTGGGCTGGAAGGCCAAGAAAGGATAAGAAAGGCCTGGGAATCCGTGGCAGATGACGGAAAGCGTTGGAAACGCCGAGACGTTTATCGGCGGCAGCCATGGGGGGGGTGGGGGGGGGCACGGTGATTTGCAGACTTTTGGGGGTCAAAATCGGTGTTGGAAATGTGCAAAAAACCCTGTAAATTACAGTAAAAATTGCTCTTTGGGGAGAATTACAAGGAGTCAAGTTGCTGCATCGCGCAACATGCCCCAAGATAGGCCAACACAGAGCCAAGATGGCCCAACATAGAACCCAGGAACGCCCAACATAGTCCCAAGCTGGGCCAACATATGCCCAAGACGACCCAACAAAACCCAACATAGTCCCAAGATGGCCCCAAGATAGAGCCAAGATGGCCCAAGATACAAGCCAGGAACGCCCAACATAATCCCAAGATGGGCCAACATAGGCCAACAAACCCCAACATAGCCTCAATAAGTAGTCCCAAGATGCTCCAACATAAACCCCAAGACGGCGCAACATGCCCCAAGATAGGCCAAGCAAAGAAGCACCAACAACATCAACGAGCTCACAATCGGTGTTGGAAATGTGCAAAAAACATTGTAAATTACAGTAAAAACTGCTGTTTGGGGAGAATTACAAGGAGTCAAGTTGCTGCATCGCGCAACATGCCCCAAGATAGGCCAACACAGAGCCAAGATGGCCCAACATAGAACCCAGGAACGCCCAACATAAGGAGCCATGGGGGGGGGCAGGGTGATTTGGGTGTTGGAAATGTGCAAAAAAAATTGTAAATTACAGTAAAAACTGCTCTTTGGGGAGAATTACAAGGAGTCAAGTTGCTGCATCGCGCAACATGCCCCAAGACAGGCCAACACAGAGCCAAGATGGCCCAACATAGAACCCAGGAACGCCCAACATAGTCCCAAGCTGGGCCAACATAGGCCCAAGACGACCCAACAAAACCCAACATAGTCCCAAGATGGCCCCAAGATAGAGCCAAGATGGCCCAACATACAACCCAGGAACGCCCAACATAATCCCAAGATGGGCCAACATAGGCCAACAAACCCCAACATAGCCTCAACAAGTAGTCCCAAGATGCTCCAACATAAACCCCAAGACGGCGCAACATGCCAAGCAAAGAAGCACCAACAACATCAACGAGCTCACAACAACCTCTAAGACAACGAGAACCGAAACAAGACAACCAGAAGCACAACAAGAACACCAGCAAGAACAAGATTGGCACCAACATAGTCCCAAGATGCACCAACATAGACCCAAAATAAAGTGAACGTCAACCCAACAGTAAAGGGAGAGGACGGGGTAGGTGAGTGCCGGGGCCCGTTTTGACGAATGTTTGGCCGCTGCATCCACTTGCATAGACCCAAAATATAGGCTTATATTGGGCCACTTCGGGCCTTACCCTCTGCCCCCTTGCTGACTCACTTTCCGTTTTCTTCCGGACTGGTTTGCAGGACGTTATCGTGATCGATTCGAACATGCCGACAGATGAGATCAAGAGGGAAGTTGCCGACAAGCTTGAAAACAACGAAGAGAAGTACCGCGAGGTGCTCAAGGCCAAAGGCTTTCCCGAAGCCCAAACCAGAAGACTATTGGCCCTGATGATCAGTTGTTTCAAGAATTCACCTCAGTAAACTTCCCGAAGGGTGGCTGCAAGATCTGTACAGTGTAGCTTGTTCCATTGTTTTTTTTACCTCGTTTTTTATTTCATTGTGCATAGACCGTAGAGCTCGGAGGGTGCACCACACAATGTGTTGCCGCTGCTTCGGCGTCACCTGTCAGGTTCTTCCTGAAATACATTGCCGCTTGAATCAAGCAAGTTTTCCTAAGGATGTTGATGATGATTTTTGATGTATATATAGTTGTGTTATATAGTTAGTCTATAGATGTCTGTAGTCATTAATTATATGTCAGTATAATATCCAACAAAAAGCGCTGAAAAGACTACTGTACTAATTATTACTTTGCCGCCCATTTGCTGTTTTTCTTCCTGGAAACGGGTGCCGCGTCGCTGCCTCCCAGCGTCAACTGCGCTTCAGCTTGCTGCATGCTTAGAATCTCGCAGCCATCAGCTGAACCGCATTGATTTTGATCTCAAGGTCCTGCAGGTGCTTAGGTGAATTCCAAGCTGGAAAGCGCAGAACTTGATCATCACGACTAGAATCTATTAAACCGTCCCAGTACAGAGTGGCTTCAAAGATTCGCAGGTGAGATGGTTCAATGGTTTGTTGCATTGGCCACATTTGCAGGGCCTTGCACCAGAATTTGAACGATGTGCGAGGGAGGTATAGAAGGCTGGTCCATTTCCTGCACATCTTCAGCATAGAATCAAGACATGATCTAGAATCTAGATCTTGGAGTTCCTATCCTGATCCCCGCAGCAACTGTTTCTGTCAGCTGCAAACTGAGTCGATTGCATGCTGAGATATCTTCCAACAACGCAGAAGGTTGCTCTAGAGTGCGTAACCGTTGCCTTGAATGAAACTGCAGAGCCGCCGCCAGAAGGACTGCCACTGACTTGCAGCTATACACTTTACACACGCCTGACTTTCAGTGCTTTTCCAGGGAATTCATGGGAAAGGTAATACCTTTGGTATGTGTGTCAGTCCTCTTGTTTGTTTCCGGAAACAGGGGAGCAGTTGGTAGCTGCCCTTCGATTTCCTGGCTCGTGACCATCCAACAGACAGGGTGGAAAGTCACCCTGTGGTCGCCGGTTTCCGTTGGTGGTTTCCTAGCAACGTTGTCATCACAACTCAGCCTTTCGCATCGACATTCTTTGAGACGATGTGTAAGAGTTGCCCTTGTTAAGAATGAAATAAATCGCCACCAGCCATGACCAATCGACCAAAGGAGCCACCGTTTCCAGCAGATCAATGGCAACAGCAGGGTCCATCGCTTCACACGCGCGTGCACAGATCACTTTGCCCTCGCAAGGTGGTCAGCAAAGATGCGGGGAGTTGTGGAGTGTCTCTACACAGAAATTGCTTTTCAGAAAGACCATACCAAGTAGCCGCCCCAACTGGCTCAACGGACTGTTGCACTATGTTGCACTTGCAGCGGTGAGAGAACAACTCGTCACAGGAACGCTCCAAGCAATTCAGTTTTGCGGCTGCTGTGCAAAGAATATGGTGTGCCATTGACTCACTTGGGTCCCAAGACGACACTGGAAAGTCACAGTCTCAGACTATTTGGTTGTAATTGGGGTGCGTCATGCTTGATGATTTTGGGTTCCCTGATGGTGGGTCAGAACACCGTCACTACAGCCATGTAGGACTAGGAGTAGAGTAGGTCAAGACATTTGTAGCGTAGGCACCAAGACATCAGTCGGCAGCTCTGTCCAGACACAGTTGAAAAGCTGTGCACGTTGGAGACCAGGGAGAAGGACCCTCTGATTTTGCAGACTTCATGGAAGGGGTGGAATCCAAGTCAGCAAATTACCAGTCAGTAGTACAAGATCTTTGTCAGCAACGGATGAGTAGACAGTCCTTGCAGCGGTCATGAGATCAGGATAGGCTACTAGCGGCTACTGCTGTCTACCGTGCGTCAATCCTATTCAATCCTCTGGGATTCACCGTGCGCAACAAGGTTTGATGCCATCACCAAGTCTCCAGTGGAGCGAGGACGACGGCAGGCGGATTTCTGCTGGATTCTAACAGTTGTATCCGCAACAGGTCAGGGTATGATGCGTTACCCTTTTATGAACTCATTCTGGACGATGTTCTGTGCAGTTGGGCGTTTCGGAGCCAGTCGCCGCAAACCATGGAGGTACATCACATTGGGGGGAAGCTTCAGCCACGCCAGCTGTTTGGGGCTCAGCATCGGAATCTATTGATGAAGAGGAATCATATTGGCCTATATCATCCTATATCTAGCTCTGGATATGGGAAAGTGTCAAACGATCTCAAACTGATGCGACCACCTCGGCTCAGACTGTAGAATGGTGATCAAATCTGACCCTCAAAATATCAGGTGTCTCAAGATCTTCGAGCAGAGATCATATGGCGGTCAATTGAGAATGCCCCTGTCTGATTTATCTTTGAGATTCTGTAGGATATGCTCGCTTCATTGAATAGGCAGCTTGGTTCCACACCCACTGCATCAGATCCTGAATGAGAATGACAATGATAGAAGACGACACGATGCCATACCAAAGTATGTCGTAGACGCCGATCACCATGAAGATTATGCCTCAGCCCAGCGGGCGGCAACAGAACGAAGCAATGATAGAGCTTGTCGCTCCCACGCACCTAGGTTTGCATCCGACGCGCCAACAGATGAAGGCATGCCGTCAGGGAGAAATCATGTGATGAATTCCTTTTATGTTTTGTGAAAGCATCGTCCCAACCTGTTTGAACACAGAGTTAAAAGATGTGACAAGATGCAGTAGAGTTCTTCAAGATTTCTTGACTTGATTGGGTAGATATGATGATATGGTTCAGAGTTGCTGCCTGATTGGGAAAGCCGTCCTCAATTTTCAGCTGTGAGTTGTTTAGCAGATCTTTTCGGGCAGGAAGTCCACGCAATGCAAAAAAAAACATCTCATACATCATGGAACTCTTTGTGCTGGTCAAAATTGCAGCATTTTGCTCGTTTTCCATGCATAGCCCATCGATTTTAGACGTTTGAGATCGTGTAGTCCGTTTGTGTAACAACATGCAGGCTTTGGTGCACCGCATCGCGCTGGAGTGTCCCTTGGAACAGAATAAACAGCATGCGGAACTCACTCGTATGGTCTCTGCTTCATCCTTGTATGGGCAAGCTTGGTGTTTCGGTGGATGACAGATATTAAAGCACCAAGTTACTCAAGCTTTGAGGATTGCATAACTCCTTTCAAGAGTGCAAGACTTGGAACCCATCACCTGAGGCGTATCCGAGATTGCCTCTCGAGCTGGGCTCAGCGGAGCGGTGAAAGCTTGGGTGTCGCAGTGGCTGAGCGGTTGAAGTCTGGATTCCAGATGTATTTTGATGAGGTCTGAGCATGCAGCTTGCTTCAAGTTTGAAAACTTCAACGCCGTGCAGGTGCCATGGGTCCCATGGGTCCCATGGGTCTCAGGATGTCTCAGGATGTCTCAGGGACCCAGGGGGTACCTATGGCCTATGGTTACCTACTTCTACATCGATTGCCATAATTACATGTGGCCACCTGGGGCTGCCGGGAAAACAATCAGAGTTGGATGGTACCCCTGTACCTATCCCGTGCTTCCCAACGGTGTCCAGCTTTCGCTGACTGCCAGGCGGAGTGCTGGAAGGAACTCTACCTGGGTCATGGCAACATGGTTGTGACTGCTCCCACGGGCGCGGGCAAGACTGTGCTCTTTGAATTGGCCATACTGGGGATGCAGAGCCCTCAGGGGAAAGGGTGACCAATGAATTCCTGGAGATCAACTTTGTGACACGCATGTCCCGCATGTCCCATAGTATTTGAGTAGTCTTCATGATGACAAGCAGGGTCTAGAAATTGTTCTCGGCGCTAAACAACATGATGCTCTTGGTCGTATTTGCTGCTTTTCTCAAGCACATTGCAGCTGATAGTCGAACTTATGGGTCAAGTTGCTTCAAGCAACTTGGCCACACCGAAGACAGGCGCGACTTTGGAAACGGTTTGAGTTGCAGCCTATTGCCTGTAGTCTAATTCGGCACTCAATACTACACAACCATGTACATCCAGGTACGGTTTGTGAAAGATCTCTGTTACCTTCTTTTGCAATCTTTTACATTTAGAGGTCAACTTCAAACCTATAAGTGGCTCGGATGTTCTCCTGGCAGGAAAGATGGCGGCAAAAGCTCCGGTGGAGGTGTTCTCCGCCACTTTTGCCGATCGTGCGCTCGGCCTCAGGATGTGCAGAGTGTCAGATTCCCAAAAACTCGTGAAAATGGTCTTTATAGCAACACCATGCAACACCCAAAAAAGATGCAAAGGCCAAATTCTATAAAAATGGTGGTCTAATTTACGTTTCCATGATTTTGCCGGGTAAAGTCTTCCTTTGCATAGCTTAACCACGAAGAAGCACGGATTCCCAAGTCCCACTGGGCCGTCGCCCGAAGGTTGCTGGAGCCCTGTGGGGGATGCACATCGCAGATGCTATTGCCATGCCAACTCACTGGTACTACGGAGGAGAGATTTCTTGATGTTTCCAAGATTCTTAAGAGACGATGAAGATATAATTTCCATGAAATTGATGGAAAAGATCATATAAGATCAATATAGGATAATAATAGGGTTCATGCAGTTGGCCAAAATTTTCTCCACCAAATAGGGAGTCCAACATTCCGATTCTGACAGCGTCAGACTTGCAGCTGCGTTGCCGCAGGACAGGCACAAGTGCAATCAGATTACGGCAAGATCACTGGCTATGCCGAGGACTCAGAGAATTGGCCAATGAGAATTGGACCACTGCTATTAGTGGCCTCCCATGACTTTTGACACTGCTATCAGTGGACATTTCTGGTTGGCGCCGCGGCAAAAAAAGGTGAAACCCAAAGTGGAGTTGCGTGGATCGATCATGGCTCTTTCAAACACTGGAGGACGCTGATGGGCCAATTGATGGGCGCTGAAAAGAATGGCAAAGACGGTGCTTTTGCAATATAAATGATGGTAACTAGAATATATGTCCCCAATCATCCCAATCATCCCACAGCAACTTTGAATGGCTTCTAATGATTGTTGGAACTGAGTCTATGTTTTTTTTGTGGCCTTTATATAGTCTTTAACAGAGATTTTCCGAGCGGTGGCCCAGTTTCCTGGGATGCCAGGAGCTGGGCGTGGAAGCAATGACGGTGACATCATCGGTTCGGTGATTGCCCATGGGAAGAAGCCCTATTGGACCAGGTGTGACAACGGTGTGACACTGCCAAGGTATAGGTACCCTGGAACTTTCCCCGAAGCGGGGTTGCTTGGATTGTAGTTTCCTTTCAAGAACTCGGTTATTTTTTTCGGGATCTGAGGGTGGTCAAGATAAGTCAAGATACGATTCTTCTTGGGTGTCAGTGCTGAAAGGTGCGCCTGTGATGGTTTGAGACACGATTCGATCAGCATTGCTGGATATGCATTTTGGGGATGGTCATTCTCGTGCTTTGAAAAGACGCCTTAAATGACTACGGGGAACTCATTGACTTTGGGCCGGTTTGCAGGCTTCTCCAAGCAGACTTTCTATGACTGTCATGACTTGCCGACTGCCAGGGCAAGGTCGCACCACTACCACTGCACTTTGGACAAAGGCCTGGAAGCTCAGCGAGTTGATCAAGGAATCCGGTTCCATTGCCAGTCTGCATCAAACTTGAGAATGCCCAACGCCGGTTTGGAAGTATGTCGGATAGCTATGGATAGCTAATGTTGAATGATTTGGAGATATATGCAGGACGTATCCATGATATTCCATGATTCCATGTGGTCCAATGGAATCAGAAAGTTCTCCATCCCGAAGCCATGAGGTGAAAACACTGTGGATGCCGAGACTTGGCTTCAACTGAACTTAGATGGCCTATGACAGTCGTATGACGTCACACCATGTTATATGCCAAAGTCCCAAAGATAGCGAAAACCGATGAAAACCGCCGTTTCACTCGGGATGGAATCCGATGGAACCTGCGGATTTCCAGATATTTCCAGGATCTGGTGCGATTGTGTTACACGACGATTGCAGAAGCCGGTGGACAGTTCGTCCCAGAAGCTTGGAGCAAAGAGAACGGAGACTGCGTTGTTTGGGGTGAAAGTGCTAGTCTAACTGGACTCGTTGTTAAAAGATGTTAATGAATAGACTTATAGTATCTTATTGTTGGTTTGTGACTTGATTGATTGCTTCTTGCAAGTTTGTTGATATTTCCTCTTGGTGGAAATCGTTTGCCATTTTGTGTGATTGCCTATAGAAAACCTAGTTTGGTCTCTTTTGGTGATGTCGCGCAGTTCTCCTTTTCGTGGTCACTGGAAAGTCGCCTTTTAACCGGAAACCTGCGGATATTTAGGGCACTTTGATATGTTTAAACGGCATTTTACAGGTATTTCTGGTACTTTGCACCCTACGAATAGTTCTGCGAAAAAGTGAAGTGCCTCTTTTCGCAAAATCGCCGCTGGCATGAAGTAACTGAATTCGAAGACATCTGAAGACTACAGGCAAACTACTGCGTTCCAGGTACTGTATCTTTCTGCCGCTGTCTGTTTTGAATCGATCCGTTGAAGGAGAGACTTCGTGACAACTACGTGACCTTCATGACTACTCCCGGGACCTACAACGATTGCTTCTCGGACATCGGAACAGCTGGGCGCGGGTCAACGTGTAGTCGTTTCCTTTCTGCCCACAGATTTTATGGTGTGCTTTTGGATACATGATCACATTGATGGATAGCTGAGATGTAAAGAAGGTGCCTGTAGCCTATAGCTATCATATGAGATTGGATTTGGTATGATTTGGTCTATTTGGTGAATGTTTCAAAGTTATTTGGTGATGTATCCGAATGTATCCCCATCTTAATATCTAGCCATGAGAATATCCCTGGACCAAATCCCCATGTACCGTGGACACCCCCCAATGACTCGATTGGATGAAGAGCTAACCCACAAGAGGCTACATCAGTACAACGCATCGCATGTTCTTTGCCAACAAGCAGCCGGGAATCCCAGACTCAGACTTCACCAGGAAATCTTGGCGGACGCTGTAATGACAGACTTCAAAAACTCAGCTTCCCCCCAGTGAAATCCAGTGAAATGCTGGAAATCTAAGTCTCAGTTGTTGGTTTCAAGAACTATCCACCTGGTCCTGGTCTGTGTGATCCTCACAGACCATAGCTGCCATGGCTCGCCTTTCAACTCAGGCGTGGAGTGCCCATTGAACGTTGTCCTGACAATGATGGCAAACCCCTCGGCACGGGAAAATGGCAGTTTGGAAGGTTGGCATGAAGTTGGGGGTGGTAATGAAATGCTGGATACATGTGGATACCTGGATACCTGGATACCTATGATTGCAAGTTTCTGAAAGGGACATGACAACCTCAAAGCTTCTTTGATAGTTGGACGTGCTTGCTGTAGCTCTGGGCATTTTCACTTGATTGTACTAATTCCTGGTGTATGCTGGGAGGTTACCGAGTCTGTTGAGGTTTCTCCTCAAGTCAGCCCTGTGCTGTATAATTATCAGAAGCAACAATCATTCCTCTTAGTTGCGAGGGCAGGGTCAACAACAGGAGGCAAACGGACGCGCACACACACACACAGGTGGTTACACTATGTCACAGGTCACACCCCTACTCATGACAGCCGACAATCAAACAGCACAAAACTGTTTGGCATCATGTCACAGTCAGATGTAGCTATCCGTGCAGATGCTGCTTCGTTGCAGAAGCTAGCAGCTAAATGTTGGATTGGTCCAACATAACTTCAAAATACAAAGGGAATGAAAGAGTCCGAAAGACCAGCAAGGACGATTTAAGCACCTCATGATTTGCCATTTGAGGTCACAACGTGGACACAACTTGCGGCCTTCCTATGACAGTGCCTCGAAAGCGTTCAAGTGATGAGGGTAAGAGCAACAGATTTGATTCAGCATCCAGTGCTGGAAAGCTACCACAAAAAAAGCTAAATACTGAACGGCCGAAGACTGACTGAAGACCTTTTTCAGGGCAACAGAAGGAATGGATTGATAGCTGACTTCATTATTTGCGCATGTTGCCATCAGTGGCAGGTTCCAGTGGCTTTAGCGACAGCACATTTGGCTCCAGATGAAGCGCGCAAGCAAGTGCAGCGCCCAGCTCTGGAGCCTTGAAACCACTGGAATTTCACTTTGAGATGACTTGAGTTTAAGTTTAAGATAGTTTAAGCGTTTTTTGAACAGAGAGACTGTGAGCAGGTCGCAAGCGCTGTCTCCGTTACACGAAAAAGTGTGTTGGCAGCATTGGTTGGAGACTTTTCCTCTGTGAGCTTCTCGTGTGACTGTATCGTGCCAGAACCACAACTGCATTCCCTGGGCACGTTGGGTATTCAACGGTGAAACGGACAAGGGAGAGCAGACATGTCAAGTTGGCAGTGGATATCTTGATACAGGGAAGCACCACATGTTGAGGTCGCCCTTGCCAAGAATATGCTGGGTTGTTTCTTGCCGCAATGTTAGCAAGATTGTTATGGTTGAATGTCCTGGAATTTTCGATACTGTACTACTTTACTTTCTTTCCTTTCTTTGTTTTTTTGCCTAGCTTTGGTTGTCGGTATGTGGAGCTGGCTCCTACCTGCTCTTCCATACAGCTTCCATACGGCTTCCATTCACGGACTCAACGGAAGAAGTCCCAAGGCTTTCCGACATGCTTCGGCAGATCATTGACGGCAAGGCTCTCGCAGATGTGATGGAAGCTGGACTGCTCACCTAATCTGTGACATTTGATGACATTTGTATAGTGATTATAGATGAATTATAGTGTAGGTTCTGTAGAAACTCCCCCCAAAACAGACCTGATCCAAGTTTTGATGGCAAGATAAAGAATGATAAAGCCCCACAATACCCCACATAAAGAGCACTTCTACCGTTCCACAGTTCGCCGAGGAGAGCGTTTCTGGAAGATCTTTGTCGGCATGCTTGAGTCGACCTGATCCCGTGGTGGCCTGATATTTGGATTCCAACTTTCCAACTGTACTGCAGATGACCTACAAATACGGCTCTGATTTCGAGACTGCCGTGCTGGCCAACGCCAATTGTGGTGGCGAGAATGTGGCACGAGGCGCGAGAAAGGAGAGGGGTCCAAAGGAAGAAATTCTTAGAGAACGTATACAAAGGTTCAGAAACTTCCAGGAGAAGCCATGATCAATGACCCTTGTTATTTAGGTATCCTTTCGCACACATGCGACTCCTGGTGTGTGTATGTTTTCCATTGTTTTCCTTTTTTAAATAAGTCCAAACTCACTGAATGTTCCAAAAATCATCGAAATACTAAGTCTTTCAACAAGTCTAAATGGTTTGAATGTTCACAGAACCAACCTATTTTCCAATGGGACTACTGGATACATCTGGCCCTGCGGGCCCTGAGGCATGGTCATGGGGGCCTTGATTGGAGCTGCCAATGGCTCTTCCCGCATTCCTCAGCATCTCAAGGATGGCCTCAAGGACGTTCTGAATCGGGGCCACTGGATGTTTTGACGTGTTTTAATACGCTAAAAACCCGGTAGGGCAAAGTATCGCAAAGTAATTAATATAGAAATGGAATGATGTGGAAAATCGATGAAAATCCAATGTTTTCCCAGAAACTTGTTTACAGATAGATGCAAACTGTGGATTGTCCAACTCTATAGGTAGGCATTACAGCAAAGAAACCGGATTACATTTTTCTCATCCTGCCTGGGATCATATTTCCTACCAGAAACAGATCTGATGTCATCCTGCAAAAGCGACAGACACTATGAAAAACGTGTTCCAAACCGTCATTTGCAGTATTCTTCTTACAGCGAGAGGGAGACATCGTCCACACCGAACATCCTTCTACACCCTTAGACTAAACATATGTGGTGATTTCATAGATGGTTTGCATATTTTCAACCATGTTTGGGATGATGATCCCCAATGACAAAACGCATCAGGAGGTTGAAACCTTCACAGTATTATACAGTGAGACTTCTGGGGTTCTTGCGTCTGAATCCATGTTTGGTTCTTTGGATGCTTCAAAGAGGACTCTGGCAAGATTGCGAAGGACATTGAGGCAGTCGCGACAAGACATGCTGGTCATGTTTGAGGTATTTCGACGTCATTTGTTGTTCTATACCGTCGCATACCGTCTCTAAAAATATTCACCACGTTGATCCATCTGATATTTCCAAGGTTCACGGAACGCATTTGGATGAATTTGTTTGATTATAACTACTACAATATTCAAGCCAATATTCCTCAAGATAAATGATCTGGCTGGTGGTTACAAACATATTACAACACGTACAATACATTCAACTCTTCCATTCCTATGGACCATCCATTCCTCTTCCACCGTGCGTGCTGCTGCTCTTTTCGCCAGTCCTTTGTGGCACAGATCCAGAAGCCCGGCGCGTGAAGCGCCAGGTTGTAATTTGGGGATGGAGCTAGACTAGACATTGTTTGCAAGATAGTGAGAGAAGATTCAAAAGGGGCAAAAGCAGAGGAAATGGAGAGATGTACAACTGTACAACCAAGATTCAAAGGAAAATACTGCAAGACATTTGAACAGAAACCTCGGTTTCCAACAGCTGTGGGCATTGCCCGGAGTTCCGCGAGTGAGTCGTGACGTTTGCAAAGCGATGTCAGCGACGAGTGCTGAACCTCTTTGGCCTATGCCACATAGCCAGGACGAGAAAGCTTGGATAAGTCTAATAAGTATGTTGGTTCCGAAGCTGTTTTGTTTGATTCGACCCTCTCTTCAGTTGCTGTACATTCTGCGACAAATAGACTTGTTTTGGTGTGATTTTGAATCTTCTGGTAGGAAAGGACTGGCTTGACCAGTAATTTTGGACCCTAATGGTCAGCAATGCACTTCCAAGAAGTCGCTGAAGTTGGGGTGTTCTCAAGGCACTGTTTGAGACTCTCATCAGCCTGTTGGTATTTGTTGGTTTGAAGTACGAATTGAAATTGCGACATCCTCAATGACATAACATCCAACATGCCACTGATGTCAGGGTCAGACGGGTGCCTTCCATTTTGTGGAGTTGCTACCCTAGCAAGTTCCAACGTCAATTTTCAATGCTCTTTTGGCGCATTACAGGCGGCGAGCAAAGAAACAACCGTTAAAAAATAGGAGTGCGAAGAACTATGGTGCAGCATTGGGGGTGATCGCAAAAGTGCCACAATTACAAACATGGTCGGCACATGTCGGCACAACTCTTTCCAGTTGACTTGCTGTTTTTGGGGGTTGTTCGAGAAGATGTCTTTGGATGCCAAGATTCTTCATGGTTTCGTTGAGCACAAATCTGAGCCACTGCAGCTGTCAAATCGGCGGTGCAATGAGGTTTCGAACTTCCGACAAGGCCAAAGCTTTGTACCTGGCTCCTTTGAAGGCCTGAGCTGCTTGAGCCTAACACCCCAGAAACAGCTTGAAAACAAATGAAAACAAGCCTGTGGAGGATTCAGCCAGTGGTTGGAAATGAGCTGACGGTAATATTACCAATAATGCCTTTGACAGTCGAAGTTTTCTTTTTATGGTTGAAATTGACAACAGCTCTGTTGCTAGGGTTCAACCATGGTCCAAGGGCAAGACAATCCAAGACAGCCTCATGTCAGATAATCTCGAAGCTCCCTGGGGCACAGGGGCACTGCCGAGCCGCTGTATTCAGGCACTATGTCAAGAAAAGGTGCGCGAATGGAAACAAAGCTTCGGAGAGCTTGGAGAGGCGCGGGTGAGCAAGGTGATGGTTGATGGTCGAACCATTAAAAGCTGGTGCCCCTGGACCATAGCCACCGGTAAGTTGATTTGTAACTGAATTAACTATGGTTTATGGTAGATATAATTAATATATAATGTAAATATATAATGCACATATATGGTCATATAATCTAATCTGATCATATTATATGATATGTATCTATAGTTAATAGATGTCAATGGGATTTGCAAACCAACTTGTGCACACAGGAAGTTGTGGAGCTCACTGGGGACGAGGACTTCCGAGCACTAAAGGGCCGAGGCCACCGATCATCCAAGTGGAATCATAAGGCAAAAAATAACCAGGGTAACCGTAAGAACTGTTGTGATGGTACAGTGGTACCTGTTGTATATTATAAACATTTATAAATTTATAAATTTATAAACTATAACAACAGCAAAAA